TCCATCAACCAAAATCATGGAGGATGCATCCGACAGTGAAGGTGCTAAAATGCCATCGAGCCCTCGCCTTCTGGAATGTCTGGCGGAGGCAACTGCGAGAAAGATGGCGATAGAATACTTCGTGAAATTTGATCTGGGATACGTTATGGGCTATCTTCGAAGTACGAGCATACTTTAGTATTTACGAGGATTACTGATATTGAAATGGGTAGTGAATTGGATCTCATCGCGCGTTGGCAAACCGATAATAAATCATCCAGCAAAGCACTGCCGAGGGGTAACCAAATTGTGCCATCCGAAATTGTTTATGCATGATCCATTTCGCATTTTGCACATTTTTGAGGTACATGGAAAATGTTCACCTTCCGCATTGCCCTATGGCAGTGAAAACTCTTAAATACCGACTACGTGAACGGATCATAACTGAGTATATTTCTAGCCGGTGCAATAACCGCTATATAAGTAACACCGCAAATTATCAAACATTATAGACTGATGGCCTGACCAAATGAACATCTCCATGCAAACAGAAACAATGAGGTTCTACAATATGCCGTGAATCTGGTGATTAGAGGAATTTGGCACCGTATAGGCCCACTGCGACGCATCAACCAATATTTGGACTGTTTTGTGCTTTTTTTCAAATATGAGGTTTATCGCATTAATAATAATTTATATGATGGATCAAAGTGAATTGCAATCATATGAGGAGCTCATATCTCAGACAATATGGTCGTATGTCTCACCTCATTCCGGTATGAACACACCGGAACACCGTGGTATCATTTTTAACGACTTCTAGCCCGTTTCGTTACAGCAGCAAAGCATCTTATGGTAAATTCCATACTCGAGCGCAGTAAGGAAATTTTAAGTTCGGGTTCGGCATTCAGTCGATCCCTTACCACTACTAAGAGCCCTTGTCAATATTGTTGTTGTTATTTTCATGATTTGAGTTTCAGCAGTGTCTGAGTGTCTTAACTGCCCACAATGACATCGTTTTACATGCATTCAAGTGTATAGAGCAGTTTCGACACCGAAAAACACGAAGAGAAAGATGGATGAAGAATGTAAAAAAAACTCTGAAACATTATCCACATTTTTGACAGAATAGTGGCTGGCAAATCGATTGCCTAAGCACACTACAGGCATTAAAATCCTGAAGTTGACAGCGTTTAAGAACGGATGGGAGGGTGCTTCGCGGATGTCACCTCACGATGAGTCAAGCTGGTGAAATGTTGTTTCTGGGAATCGTCGTTTCTGCTTCCTTACGCCACCTGAGCAACGACTACCAGGATGAAGCACAGGGTGTCGATTCCGGTGCAGGAATGTTGGCATGAGCTACGACTGGACGCTATTACTCATTCCGAATCGGTGGCGATGATCAATGGCCACAAGCTGACGGCGATTCGTCGACGACGGTGCGTTTGATTTGAGAGGTTCAACCGAGATTAGCCTCTACTAAAAGCGACACACGTCTTATGCTTTTACGATTCAATTTGCTCGATTTAATAAATGGCTTCATTGCGGATCTATAAGGCTCATGGGCGAAGAGACGGCATGCCGTTGCAAAACCGAGAAACGGATGGGTACTGTACAAAGCTGGGAGGGGGAGATGGACGCTTAACTGGAGGGCGTCGATGAACGAACGAGCTTCATCTAACTGCATGGCTCGGGCAGGCGATCGCCCCGTTGAGTCTTTTATAGATTTGTGCTCAATAAAAGCATTTCGATGACAGCTGAATCTGTGTGGCATAGATTGCGATGTCCGCTTTGTGCAACAGAACGCATGCCACAAGACTCAGTTATAAACTACGTCGCTATGTCACGGATTAGAGCCACCAGAGGGCCAGTCGTGACTCCAAAATGAAGTTACACTTACGCTCTTCAACGTCTGTGTACATTTTGTCGCGATGAGGCTAAATACGGCCGCTAACTTAAGCGATCGATATCATACTCACGCATGGCTATGGAGGAAAGACACCCATGCTGCACTCTATATTGTCTCAAAGTCAAGTTCGATGAAACAAAGACGTATATATTTTAACTTGGCAGAATGCTACCTCTGGAATGGCTGTGTCTTCGTAGCGGTAATACCATCAGGCAGTCCTCAAAAAATGCAGCTGTACGCCCATCTTGGACCGAAGACTGGCCATCGCTTTGCCGATGCAAGCCGTTAAACGTATTGGCCCAATTAAATAACCAAGAACTACCCCAGCTGCGAAATTAACGCCTCAAGGAATGAGCGGCGGCCTGGAATTCGCTATGCTCTTCCGATGATCCACTTCTGGAGCTAGTTGTTTGGCAGCCATTGCCAGTGTCACGACTTGCTTGCTGCGATGGTTCTGTACGGCATGACAAATCGGTTGTATGGTGAAAATCGGCTGTAAAATCAAGGGCATCGCCGGACGTATGTAAGGGTGAGGGAGAGCGAGTTTTGACGACGCCAGATTTTTGGCCATCCACATGCTGTACCTAGGCACGGGCAAGTGACAAGACTGTTCCCAGTGTTCAGAAATAAAATGCATGTCGTTTTCCTGACAAACAGCGATGAGTGCCCAGGCGAAAGCGAACTCAGGATTCGGCAGAGTACCTGATTCGATAAGTGACGGAGCCTGAGGAGGTCGCAGACGCGCCTAGTGTTGATAAAATCGTCAACATCATCCGCGCGGCGACGCGTGTGGTACAACGCATAGAGGTACTTCTGGATCGCATTTTAAACACACTCTGGGAGGGCGACGTGAGAACGTGTCATGATGACTGTCCACACTGTCAATTCTGCTGAGCAACTGGAGTCCTTTGAAGCGCTATTTCAAGCTTCTGCCATAGCGACTCACGAAAGTATAAAGCTTCATAATCTTTCATCTGGCTGATTACCGGTGGAATTGGACGGCTGGAATGTATTTCCCACAGTGGTGAGTGGTGCATCGAGGGTTCATTTTGTCTGTTACCCACGAAGAATGGCGGATGGATCTGGTCATCGAACCAACCTTTATTCTACTCACCTCTGAAATTGACTGTTGCAGCCAATGCGTTTCGGTCGCTCACAGTCAACTGAGCTGTACTTTGCCTAAACGCCCCCCCCCCATTCCCAAGATGACTAGAAACAGGGGTTAGTTAAGTTCCTACTTCATTTTACCACCATTTCAGTTGGCTTTACTTTTGTACTTTAAACCGCCTTCCTACTCAATTTTTGTTTTGTAAAGAACTCTACGATTTATTATCCTATTGTTTACTGCTCTTGTTGTGCTTAGATTTAAAAATTATATGTGATATCGAACTACTCATAACAAAAGCTAATTTAATTATCTTAATTGTATTTAATAAAGGGATAATTGAATAGACGCAATGGCAGATGTAGTCTTTAGTCTAGAAGAATGATGATCTGGTGTCAAAGTTCAGCAGCGCCAGTTAGAATGATTCTTCAGACTTTCCCCACAAAATCGTGACTGGCGTTTTTTGTATATTTCTTGATATTGTCCACCAAGCGATGCGTGAACATCAATGTGTCGCAAACCGTTCTTTATGTCTTGTATCTTGCTATTCTCATTTTTCCAAAGAGTTAGTCAAATATTCAAAAGTTTTGTATTAGTTGACATAATTTAAGATCCTAAACTATCGACGTAAATTTCTTTTGCATAGCAGTTAAGATTATACTTTAGGGTCCATTACTTCCCACCTTAATCGTTCCCATTCACTAAGGAGGGCATGGTCTCTGTGCAGCTAAGACATTAGATGCATATTTCGTTATTTTCTAAGTTATGGCAAAAGATTGCTTTGCATCAGATCCCATATTTCCGTTGCGCATTTTGCGAGAATGAAGATTTTATTTCTCTGCATACCTGCCGAAAATCGAAATTTATTAGCTGGTTCTTAAATATCTTTTTGATCGACCCATACAGTAATGCGTTTTCGCAGCCTTGAACTGGAGGAGCTCTATTATCATGGAGCCATCGCCTGTTAGAAGGTCCTCTAGACCCCAAGTAGCAGAAACAATAGCACTAGCATGTAGTGTGAACCTCACGAAACCGTCTCTGCATGCAGCGGCATCAAAAACTGACTTTTGTTAGCAAACATTAAACATTATGAATATTTCTGTTTCAGAACGCAGTATTTACTCATTTTAACTATTCGGTCTATAACTTAAGCTCAGAGTATCATTGTTACAACTCTTTGACCAGTTGGCAACCGAAATATCCGCATATAAATATCCGAATCGCCTCTACACTTGAATTATCTTGAACGAGTCGAGAGTATTAAATATTAGTTGTTTAAACGTAAAGGGAAACACGAACACTCTCCCGGAAGACATCACTCCCACATGTCTTTCGTTTATCTTGTATATGAGGAGTTATTTTCTGTCCGGAAAACAAATTGCGCCTTGAAACGCCTTCTTAGGGCTTATGGTCTACCTTGTTCGCAGTTGATTTGCCCTGAACTAGTGTAAAGGCTCTGTCAGTGCTCGCTAGCCGACCGTTTTGGTATAGATTATAAGGGCATTTGGCTACTGTGACGGTTCAAGATCGATTACGGCGCCCAAAAATTCTTTGTAAAGTGATTTCACACCTTTTTTGCTTTCCTTCCGAAAGAGGCTTTAAGGATGCATTCTAGGAAATAGTAGATCTCCGGTAATTTGAAGGATTATTGTTTCAAAATCTCGTTATTCATCCGGAGTAATCGACTCGAATCAGCGATCTCAATAATATCCATATTAAACAAAAACTAGTGGAGGATGGTTTGCAGCATTCCGTGCGATGACTCACATCCTTCGGTTGCTGTTCTTTGAAATTAACATGATTTTTCTGTCATTTTTTGACGCCCTGTCGTTGTGCGATTTATGGCCAATTGAAAGATGTCATGAAAGTGCCTTTGGGCGCACGTATTTTGCCCACCGGTGGAGCGGCGTTAATTTTTTCCTTTTATAAACCCGTTGTGATCGGCCGATCGGTCGACGCTGGTCGGAAATGAAACAATCGCCAAAGAACCGGCCATCGAAGACTTTTTTCCGCTCGTGCCTATTTTCCTGTCATTATAATTAGACCGATGCATTTCAGCAGATGGCAGAAAGTCGACTACCGTCGTGACTGATAGACGACCTTCGAACAAGGGTGACCTGCCTGACTCATTACATATTAATGTTATGCCTTAACTGTAAGGTTCTCAACATACAGTTGCAATATCCGATTATTGCGTCACATGATACACACGTGCTCAATGTTTAATAATTTAATATAACTATTAAAATGCATTTAATGAACGTAAAAATTAATAACAGTTAAGTGATGAAAAACGGACTAAATGTTAAAGCAACGAGCCACAACTCATTACTTAGGCCAGAACCGAAATTAATTTTATTCGTTTGATGTTCGTCGCATTTTATTGGCAAAGTCATATCCAGAGCAGAAAATGTACACATCGAGAATTAAACCGTCATCATCATCAGCCTTGTCGATTCCTTGCTGGATGAAGACGTAGCCAAATTCTATTCATTTCTTTCCTTTTTTTCATTTCCTGCTTTCTTCCAGGTGAATGAATGAACATTTTGTGTACTTGCAAAACTCGTATGTTAAAGGTTCATAAACGAGGTAATTATTAAACATATATACTATCGCGTCGACTTGCCAAAACCGATGACGGTGAGGAGAAGATTGGCAAACAAAACAGATATCATCAAAACGAAATCGCCAAATACAAACGAAAACTCGGTCGCCGGCGAACTTATCGCTGAACTCAATAACAGTGATCATATAATCCTTGTGGAAAGTGCACGAAAACCGAACTTGGAGATGCGGTTTAGGATTCTTCGTAAAGACATGGGCTGCACCGCATGTCTTTACGAAGAATCCTAAAGACATTAGCTGCTACCTCATGTCACCTCGTGTCGAAGTCATAATTCTGCTGGTGGAGAAAAGAAAATTAATATAATCTAATAAAACCTAAACTAATCAATATTTACAGTCCAGCCGAGTACAGCGAGCGGGCGACGCTGAGGTGGAGCAGTTCTAACAGGAACGGGAAACCGCAGTGCAAACGACATTCGCGTACACAATCACCCAAGGAAATTTCAACTTCATAATGGGACGAAGTAAACGACGAAGACAGAGCGTTTCATCGACCGTTTTTTGGAAGCAGGCAGCAAATCGAGCGCAACCCCTGTCTCGTGACCTGTGTCCAAAGTAACCGCCTGCACATCATGAATGTCATGGTTCAAAAAACTAAAAGCAATGGTGGAAGTGGAGGAGCCATAACGGAACGACCCTTAACCAAGTGGACTACGTGCTGACGGACGCAAGCC